TGACGCCACAGCACTCTACCCAGGGCAACAGAGTGAGACTCTGTCTCAAAAAAAAAAAAAAAAAAAATTCAATACTAAACAAGCTGCGGAAACCGCCTTTTGCAGTTTAGTCACCATTCACTCTCCAGGCTTTTTCCTCACTGCTGACATACATGAGCTACAGTTAAAATGGCAAAACTGTGTCAACAGTTTGGGTGCACACTTTAATTGTACTGCTTCTTGTTTGGGATATAATAAACCCAACCTTTGATTCAAAACCATACATTTTGTATTTAATGAGCTAACATTACGTCGTCTTTCTCAATGACATAGTTTATTTTTCTTAACCATAACCACTGCAGACAGAGTCTCAACTTTGTCGCCCTCAATAGAGTGTCGTGGCGATCCTCTTGCCTCAGTCTCCCGAGTAGCTGGGACTATAAGGCGTCCGCCCCAACGTCCAACTAGTTTTTAATTTTTTTTTTTTGAGACAGAGTCTCACTTTGTCACCCTTGGTAGAGTGCTGTAGCATCACAGCTCACAGCAACCTCAAACTTTTGGCTTCAAGTGATTCTCTTGTCTCAGCCTCCCAAGTAGCTGGGACTACCGGTGCCTGCCACAACGCCCGGCTATTTTTTGTTGTTGTAGCTGTCATTGTTGTTTGGCAGGCCCGGGCTGGATTCGAACCCGCCTTAGCCGCTTGAGCTACAAGGGCTGACCCGACTTTAACCGCTTGAGCTACAAGAGCCGACCCGACTAGTTTTTTAGAGACCGAGTCTTGCTCTTGCTCAGACTGGTCTCAAACTCCTGCGCTCAAGGGATTCACCCGCCGCGGCCTCCTAGAGTGCTGGGGTTACAGGCGTGAGCTATCGCGCCGGCCGAAAATAACCAATTTTTAATATATCAATTAAAAATTGATAGCATTTACTGCTGATTTAATGTTGCAAAAACGTTGGGGGAGAGAAAAATAACACTTTCAATCCAAATTCACGTCCTGGCCGCCTTCGCTCGCGGAGTTCACTCGCTGAACCGCTTCGCCCCCTTCTTGGGACCGCGACTTTTCTGCCTGGTGGTGAGGCGAGGACCGCCTCCTGTCGTTCCGGATGCTGAGAAGGAGATATTATCTTGAGATTATATTGCCCTGCCCGCATCGGCGTTGCAGTAAACCTGGTCCCCCTTGCCCGAATCTGACCAGGTATCACTCCATTCCCGGATTCCGCCACTTCCCTTCTTCCGGGAACGCGCGCGCTTTACGGCGTTCAGCAGTGCGTCATCAGCTGGTGCCCGGAAATAGCGTCATCTGTAGGCGCCAGGGTGGTTGCCCACCGCGAGGTCCCCGGCCAGGGCTGCTATAGGGTTTGCTGCTTGGCGGCATCATGCAGGTCTCCAGCCTCAACGAGGTGAAGATTTACAGTCTCAGTTGCGGCAAGTCATTGCCTGAGGTGAGTCACTTCCAGGTCTCCTCTCTAGGTCTCCGGGGTCCTCCTCGTGTAACAGCCGCCCATCTCCCGGCCCTGGCCTTGGCCTTTGCCTGTGTTGTGTTTTAGCTGGGCCTTGACCAGCCCTTGATTCGGCAACGTTCCGAGGTGACTGATGGTGCGCTTGGCAAGCTGGTGGATACTGTTAGACGAGGACACTACTGACACTGCACTAAAAGAACGTGGGGTGAACAGGGTCGGTGAACTTTGCTAGAACTTTTGTAAAGTTATTTAGAACAGAGGATGCAACCCTTTGATGCAACACTCAGCTTCTATGGGTGTTCGCAGTCGGTGCCTCAGAGGAGGAAAACTTGGTTAGAAGGGATGTCAGACATCTCTCGCGGTATTGACGCCCTACCCATTTTCATGCCCATTCATCACCTGTTGGAGTTCCTATGAAATGCCAGGCCGTAAGGATACAGCAGGGAACAAGAGAGATGTAGAGTTTGCGTCTGCACCATTTTTGGTTATAGGATGATGTTTTAAACCATGCTGAACTTGATTTCATACTCTTATAATGTCATATTCGGAAGAGTTTGTACAAATCAGTAATTCTCTTCCTTTTTCTTCTGTTTAAAACGTGCAGTCAGGCGGCGCCTGTGGCTCAGTGGGTAGGGTGCCAGCATATGCTGAGAGTGCGGGTTCAAACCCAGCCTGGGCCAAACTGCAACAAAAAAATAGCCAGGCGTTGTGGCGGGTGCCTGTAGTCCCAGCTACTCGGGAGACTGAGGCAAGAGAATCGCCTAAGCCAAGAGCTGGAGGTTGCTGTGAGCTGTGATGTCCTTGGCACTCTACCAAGGATGATAAAGTGAGACTGTCTCTAAAAAAATCAAATCAAATCAGTCAATCAATCAATAAAATGTGCACAGTCTTCTTCTGTTTAAAATATACTCCAGATATCCAGTAAGGGGAAAGGTCACTTATCTGGTGGCACCACTGACCCTGCATTATCAGAGGTTTAATCTTGACCTTTGCTTTACTCTTATTCATTAAAATAGTGGTTTTGCAAAGCAAGGTCTTTGAGCCGCTGGAGGTCCCCAAGACTTTCTCAGGGGACCCATGAAGTCATACTGTTCTCACATTCAGACTAAAACATTATTGGCCTTTTATTCTATGTTGACATTTCTTATGGTGGGTAAAACTGCTGACACCTTATTAATGATCAAAGCAGTGCCCCCCAACTGTGTTAATAGTCACTCTATGTGACATGTGCCTTGGTCAAAACCAAAAAATTGCTAGTTTTACTTAAGAATGTCTTTGAGAAGCTTTCAAAATTATTAATTTCTGAGATATACCGTCGTTTTTATATTCTGCATGAGGAAATGGGGAGTACACATAAAGCAGTTCTGTTTGTCACAGCATATACCATTTTAGTCTGGAGAAAAAGCCCTCTGCGTGTGTTTGTGTTGTGAGCTGAAAGAGCTGTGTTTTTATATGAAACACAGTTTTTACTTGAAAAAATGACTTATAGACAAACCGTTGTTATTCAGATTTCAGTATTTGGCAGGGATTTTTTTCTTTTTCTTTGAAGCAGAGTCCCACTTTGTTGCCCCCATTAGAGTGCTGTGTCATAGCTCACAACAGTCTCAAACTCTGGTTCAAGTGATCCTTTTGCCTTGGCCTCCCCAGTAGCTGGGACTACAGGTGCCTACCGCCATGACACCCAGCATCAGTTTTATTTGAAAGATTACTGCTTAAAATATGATAAAATCAGTAATATAATAAAAAAGGCCTGTAAATCTGTATATGAGTGCATTCTGGCTCAAACTCAGGCACTCAAAAGTGTTACCCTCTTTAAATGTGGGTGCAGCTTCAGGCTTTTTACTTAGGGTCTTGAGTGGTGTGTCTTTCTGACAGGAGAGTCCTGAGATTATAACATCACGTGTCTAATAAGGGCTGTAGATTGGGTTTGTGCTTTTAGAAATAACATTGCAATTTCTCTCTCTCTCTTTTTTTTTTTTTTTGAGACAGAGTTTTACCTTGTCTCGCTCAGTAGAGTGCCATGGCATCATAGCTCACAACAACCTTAACCTCTTAGACTCTAGTGATTCTCTTCCTCAGCCTCTCAAGTAGCTGGGACTACAGGTGCCTGCCACAATGCCTGGCTATTTTTAGAGATGGAGTCTCACTCTTGGCTCAGGCTGGTCTCCAACCCATGAGCTCAGGCACTCCACCCACCTCTGTCTCCCAGAGTGCTAGAAGTACAGGCCTGAGCTCTCTTTTATTTCTTGAGGGTAGTTTCTTAACCTCCCTGTTATTGACACTATGGGCTGGACACTTCTTTTTTTTTAATATACCACAGTTTATTAATCCATTCATGGGTTGTTGGGCACTTGGGTTGTTTCCACATCCTTGAAGTTATGAATTATAAACTCAATTGAGTGCAAATGTCTTTATGGTAAAAATTTTTTTTAAAAAATTAATTCTTGAGGATCCATTGAGGATACAAGAAACCAGGTTTCACTGATTGCATTTGGGGCTGGACACTTCTTTGTTATGGAGGTTGTCTTGTGCATTGTAGGATGTTTGGCAGCAGCAGCCCTGACCTCTTCCCCACTAGATGCCAGGAGCATACTCCCCAGCTATGATAACCAAAGGTATCTTTAGGAATTGCCAAATGCCCTCTGGGGCACAAAATTTTTGCTGGCTGAGAACCACTGCTTTAGGATAATGATAATTGACAAATGTTTCATCACTGCTACCTGTTTGTGCAGTGGAATTACACTGCTTGCTAAATTGAAGTGCATTAATTACAGAGCAAAATCTGGTATCTGTGAATAAATGGTAAAGAGTCTCATTTCTTTATCATCACATGCCAGCTGTTCAGCCTGTTATTTATCTGGTTTTATTCTTTGTAAAAAATGTATTTCTTGATGAAACATTCTCCCTTTAATGTTTTACTTTTTAAAATTTCACTTAATATATGAAGTTATTCCATATATTAGTTATAACCCATAATATTTGAGGCTTACTGTTTTCCATTAGATTATTTAGATGAATTAGTTTTCTCTCTCTCTTTTTTCAGACAGAGTCTCACTGTGTCACCCTCAGTAGAGTGCCAAGGTGTCACAGCTCACAACAACCTCCAACTCTTGGGCTTAAGCGATTCTCTTGCCTCAGCCTCCCAAGTAGCTGGGACTATAGGTGCCCACTCCAGTGCCTGGCTATTTTTTTTTGTTGTTGCATTGTTGTTTAGCAGGATTGGGCCAGTTTGAACCCACCACACTCAATACATGTGGCTGGCACTGTAACCACTGTGCTACAGGCGCCAAGCTGTTTTCTCTCATTTTTAAAAATTTTCTTCAAATGAATTAGTTTTCTATTGTGTGAAACATACTAGTTTAGAAATTTTATTGTCTGATGTAAGTATATACGAGAAAAAAGTCCAGAAGAAATGTTAACAGTAAGGTTAGGATTTCAGAATGTTTTTACTTTTCGTGTTACATATTCATGTAAGATTTATTCTTTGATATGAGCATGTACTATTTTTGCAAGAAGAAAAACAGTTTAGATAATATTGTTTTAAAATAAAGTCTCTATGTTTTCTTTAAGTGGCTTTCTGATAGAAAGAAGAGAGCATTACAGAAGAAAGATGTAGGTGAGTATTGTTTTTCCCTACTACATCTGTCATTTATTGTTGTCATATATAAGCACATTTACAGAAATACAGTGGAATTAATATAGTAGAAAATAAACATTTTTGCCCTTTTCTTTTGTCTTTTTTTTTTTTTTTCTTTTTTGAGACAGAGCCTCAGGCTGTCCCCCTGGGCAGAGTGCCATAGCATCACAGCTCACAGCAATCTCCAAGTCCTGGGCTCAACTCGTTCTCCTGCCTCTGCCTCCCAAGTAGCTAGGACTACAGGCTATTTTTTGGTTGCAGCCATCATTGTTGTTTGGTGGGCCTGGGTTGGATTCGAACTTGCCAGCTCCAGTGTATGTGGCTGGTGCTTCAGCTGCTTGAGCCACAGGCACTGAGCTTTTTTTTTTTTTTTTTT